TTGAGAGCCGTTATCATCTTTGTTTCGGCTACGTAAGCCGAAATTCGCTTCAATGATTGTGATTCAGTCATTATCACTGAATTCACTTCCCCAACCAGTTGGTTGGATGTCAGTTAACCCACTGAAGTCTATGTGGGACAAGTCTTCTCTGTCCCATTGAAAACCATGCTCAGGGTGCAGGTATAGGGAACAAAAAGTGTTTGGCACTGGCGCCAAATCGAAGTCTGGTGTTGGACATCGCCCTATGTGAGCCAAGTTCTTGTCGAAGTCTGCCAGCCCTAGGTGATTCACTTCGCCCAGGTAATAGCTTTGGTCTGCTTCTATGTTTTCGAACATCCCATCAGGACGCCATAGCAGCAACCTCTGGTGCATTGATGATGGTACAGCCCCAACACCATGAATCCATTCACGGCCCAACAAAAGATTATAGTTAGGTTTGGCCGATATGACCATAAACATAGTTGGTCGAAGGATAGATCCCACCTTGATATCCAGTTGGATCACGCCCATTGTGGTCCCTATGCCGCCTTCATAGTTCGACAGGACCATATTGTGAGGTTTGATGTTCTCATCACTTTTGGCTATTTTCCTTAGCATAAAGTGAGGAATAATGTTGATGGTTGCCCCAGAATCCACCAAGATTTTATTCACTGTGGTTTCTTCGAGTTTAGCCCTTATAAATAAAGGCTTGAGGTGATTTTTCATCGCCTCTGTAGGTGGTTCAAAGAACCCATTTTGCTCCTCAGTAGTGCCATTATCCATGACAAAATAGCACACTGGCCTATGTTTGGCCATTTCTTGCTCCACTTCCCAATCACTTGTTTCGACCTCCACCTGTTGGTTGAACTCTCTGGGCAGCACTGAGACTATATTCACCATGATGTCCAAAGTGTCATCAGACTCAAAACCATCTTCGTCATCAACTTCCCCTTGGTTAGGCCAAACTAGCCTATTGGTTACTGGTTCTCTTTCCAGAGGTTTCCTTTGCTTTCTTTGAGGAACATTTGAACTGGTTTCTGCCTTTGGTTCATTAGCAGCCTCCCTCTCAGCTTTTCGTCGCCTCTGGTATCTCCTCCATTGAGATCGAGACATGGGATTTTTCCCTTTGTAGTTGCTTGACACCTGTGTAACTTTAGGGGCAGCAACCTGAGGTTCTTTCTTTTGTGTTAAAGATGAACCTCTTGGCACATCGAAAAAGTGCCATCTTTCCTCGCTTGGCCTCTTTCGACCAGATGTTTTGTACCATGAATCTACTGGCACATTAGTTGGAGGCCTGAAAGTCGGTGGCCTCTTTTGAATCTACTGCTTCATTTGAATCTCCAAGCCCTCCGTCTGGCCTTGAACTGCAGCCAAGTGAGAACTGGGTTTTGTTCCAGCTTTTTGGGCTCCAACTGTCTCCAACTTTGGGCTTTCGACCGCTTTCTGAACCGCTTCAATTGTCTTTCTGGATAGATTCCCAGAAAAACTGCCAAAGATTGGCATGTTGACATGGTCCTTTGAGACTTCGACCATTGTGATTCCTGGCCTCTTCGACTGGATTCTGGATGCCTCGATCACGTTCACCTCTGAAGGTTCAGCATAATGGGCTTCAGTCTGCAACGGATTAGAGTCCACAGTCATGGGGGTCTTGTCAGCAAACTTCAACCTCCCTTCTTCGATAGCGTCTTGCACAAGATTCCTGAAAAGAAAACATTGAGACGTTTTATGGCCCAGAAAATTATGATACTTACAAAAGCCTCTCTTCTTTCTTTGATCAAGAGGAGGCACTTTTACCCCTGGGGGTACTATCATTTGGCCATCTTTTACAAGCAAGTCAAAGATCTCATCACATTTTGCAATATCAAAACTATAAGTCTTTTTGGGGAACTTATCGTTGGCCCTTTCTGGACCAGTCGGGTTTTTCCCACTTGAGGGGACTAACAGTTTGCAAGAGTATGGTGGCCCTTGTTTTAGTTCCGCTAAATCGACTTCTCCTTCTTCGACAGTTATAGTTTCGTCAAAGGATTCTGGATCTTCGTCATCCATCTCAACATACGCTATCCTCTCTCTCTTATGAGTTTTCGTTGCCTTTTCTTTTTCAGCTTTAAGGCGTTCTACCTGTCGAACTCTATCGGCCAGTTGGGCCATGTCTCTCAGGTATTGAGTGTCTAACTTCTTCCTAATGGAATAATCTAAACCGCCTGCGGCTATTTCGACTAACTCATGTTCTGGCACTTGTGTAAAACATCTTGCTTTGAGCAACCTAAACCTATTTAGATATTCGTCTATAGGTTCAGTGAAACGTCTCTTTACACTGGCCAATTCTTTCAGGCTTATCTTGGTTTTCCCCATGTAGAATTGCTCATGGAACAATCTCTCCAACTGGGTCCAATGATGGATCGAATTGGGGGGGAGAGTTGTAAACCAAGTAAAAGCGTTCTTTGTTAAAGAACTTGGGAAGTACTTAATCCTCAGGTTTTCGTTGTTTGAAATATCTCCTGCTTCGATCAAGTATCTCGCCACATGTTCGACAGTAGATTCTGTCGTGTCCCCAGAGAATTTAGTGAATTTAGGGACTTTACATCTAGGAGGTAAGTCTGTTTGTAACACGTATTCTGACAGTGGGGATGTAAAGTTGGGCCTTCGAAAGCCCATGTTCATCCCATTTTGAGTCATGATCCTTTCGATCATGGTTGCCAGAATATTTTCCAAACCCATGTTTTGGTATTGGATATGCTGAACTACTTCGTCAGCATTTTGGTTTCTGTTAACTAACCTTACCTCTGGGGTTATTACCATAGGTTCTTCAACAGGTTGCTCCAATCGTGCCCTAAGGTTTTCTTCGACAGGCTGTTGGACTTGGTTGATAGTGGTTTCTTCCTCTAAGAATATACCCTGGTTTCCCCTTATTTGCGCCCTTTGGGGCTGTCGAATAGGTTGGGGTACTCCAAAGAAATCATCCAAACGCGTCATTTGCGCTGTCATCTGCTGATTCGATTGGGTAGTGTTTTGTATTAGAGGGTTCAGCACTGTACTTAAAGTTTGTGCCAACATTTGAACCATATCATGGTTGCTTTCGTCCATTTGTTGCCTCAAGACTGCTGTCGAGGCATTTGTAAGGCCATGTGCTACTTGGGACGTTCCTCCTAAGAGTTGGATCCTATTTCTATTTGCCATACCTACTCCAGAACCTTGGAGTGGCAAAGAGGCACTCATTAAAGGCTCTGAAAAAGTGGACGCAGCATTCGTCAGGCTAGCCAAGTCAGAAGTTGGCATGCCATAGAGTGGTTCTCGATTATGACCGCCTGTCATAAATCCTGGGGGAACATAAGGCCTTGTGCCTAAATTTCCCCTTGGTGGGGGAGTTCCACTACGCCAAAAATGATTTTTTGTATCACCTAATTTAATAGCACTTTTAAAAAAAATGCTATTAAAATGGAAAAAACACATTTATAATAGCACTTTTTAATCGGGCGCTATTATATAATACAGACTATGTAATTATGATAGCACTTTGTACCAGAACGCTATTATTAAACTTCTTTAAGATAACATTTTGTATAAAACGCTATTATTTGACTACCTATATAATAGCATTTATTAAAAAGCGCTATGTTATATATAATAATGAATTAATTAATTAATTGATAAAAAAAAAACAAAACACATTTTCAGAAAAACAAAACACATTTTCAGAAAAACAAAACATGTTTCCCGCATCCACTCACCGCCAAAAACAAAAACACTATCTTCCTCTGCTTCCTTCTTAGCCATTGATTCTCCCAACTGATTCACCGCCGTCAAATCTTCCTCTGCTTCCTTCGGTTTTCATTGATTCACCGCCGTTAGTCATTGATTTACCACCGTCATCCCTTCCTTCGGTTTTCACCCGGATCCATTCTTCAGCCATCGGATTCACCATCGATTCAGATTCAGATTCACTTCTCAAACGACACTCAAACAGAAGGAGGAAACACCGAAAAGAAAGAACAACCAAATCTCATTCTCCGTCGAACTCAACCCTTTGTCATCTCACCTACGTCGTCGTCATCCCTCTCTTCATTTGTATCCGGTAATATTTCTTTTTTCAGTTTCTGCTATCCGTTGATTCTCTGTGTTGTTTGTGAGCATTATGATGTCTTTGTGTTGACGGATATTCGTGATTTTGAGTAGCTGTAATGAGGGTTTGTGAGGTTAAGTTGCAGTTGTGAGGGTTCGTGAAATTTGAGTGATAAGGCTTGTGTTATTGATGTGTGCCTGAATGGTGAGAGATGAGCTGGTTATTGATGTGAGCAGTTGTGAGTAGTGGCATGAAGTGTAAGGTATTTGGCCATTGAATTAGTTTTAACTAAGGTCTATGTGTTGAAGTTGTGTGCAATTTTCAATTTCTAGTCCTAGTTAACCGTAAATATCAATGTTGAGAGAGATTACACGGTGGAAAGAGTTGTATTTGAGACCAGCCCATGAGTATGGTTTTGAATGAGAAGGAACTCATGTTGAGTTTATGAGAGGCGGAAGTGATATCTAGTGGGAATTGAATGATATAAGTGCTATGCCATCTGAGTTGAGTGCAGAAGAAAGAATGTAGACATGGAAGAAGGAAGAGAAGAGAGGAATGAAGTTTTATGGAGAGCAAAAAAGTCAGTACATTGGTTGAAGATGAGTTGAAAAGTTTGTTCTAGTTTGAGTGATAAGGCTTCTGTTGTTTTGGTGTGATTTAGTCACAATTAATCGATTCTTCTTTTCAATCCAAGCAAAAATTGGCATTTCGTTAATGTTGGATGTTTTTTTGATTTCAGGAAAAACTTGATCAGTGGCTCTGTAGACAGCAAGAGGGTGGATCAAGACTTGCAAACTTTGATATAATTAACTACATTCAGGTTGGTTTCATCACTGTTCTATGTTTTTCATACAATGTTGAGGTTTTATTATTGTTCTCTGTTTTATCATTGTCTTTTGACATGATTCTCAATCCTAAACAAATGAGTTTAATCAACAACAATGGTCTCATATTAATCTCACTATGGTTTTTGCTCCACTTTAGCTCTAATCTTCTGCTCCAAAACAGAAACCTCAGTTTCAAGACCAAACATTCTATTCAAAGCATGCATATTCTCAAGTGTTTCACTCAAAGTCCTACTATCACTCCCATCACATCTCAAATGTTGCATTGGACCATGAAGCATTTTATTCACTATACCTCTACCAAGATCATCCACTGCTTTTTGTGTCTTCTTATTTATATCCTCATCACTCATTTTACCTAAACATTTCTCAACCTCAGCAATCCTTAACCTTTCAGCATAAGCTCTCAGTTTCTTGATAGTAGGAACAGTTTCTAACGAGTCTCTCCATGCTTCGAATTGGCCCGATTCTTCGCCGATGATCACTTGTGCTTCCATTGCTTTTCTTAGTCTGTCCTCTTTGTTAGCAGCCACTACCTCTTTAAGGTTGTCGACATTGTAAACTTTGACTGATTCGAGGTCATCGACGCACGAACCTACGTTCCTCGGAACAGAAATATCGACGAAGAGGCGCTTTCGTCCCATTTCTTCGCTTGCGAAAGGAAGTTCCTTAACATGTTGTTTTAAAATCAAAGGATTCTCTGATGCCGTGCTTGTGAAAACTACATCCGCTTCGCCTACGCATTCGAGCATATCAGAAAGCGGTTTGTAGATTATCTCGACATCGTTTATTTCATCGCGGATCGCAGATACAACAGCCATTCCTGCACCATGTCTCAGAAGTTCAACTCTTCCTTCTGCACACTGACAGAGACATTCCAATAAAACCAACATCATTTCATTTGGTTTTCTGTCTTTGCAATTCTCTAACAGAAGCTCTATTAAGACAGGAACTGTTCCTGCTTCAACACCTTTGATTCTGTTTCTTCCACATGGACAGAGGATAATTAGTGTCTGAAGGGCTGATTTTGATACCTTTTTTGATATTTGATCCTTCAAAACTTGCACCAGTTCCACGAATAAATCGGTTTTTTGATGAAGTAACTGCACTGGTTCAGCTACTTCTGTCATAGATTTAAGCAAGAAAACTGCATAAGCTCTTGATTCAAAGAAACCTTTCTGTAAAAATTTTGTTAAGGACTCGATAAATTGACCGTTTTTGAAAGCTAGTAGATTCTTCAATCCAGCTTCAGATACATGAAGGTTATGAAGTATGCTTAATGCTTCATCAACCAGATTAACATTAGTCTCTGACAATAATAAAGATTCAGAATCGATGTTGCAACTATTGTTTACCACAGTAGAAGCTAAGAAGTCAACAACACCAGCATCTTCCATGCAACGTTTGTTTGTTTCACTACCAGAAGCAAATGATCTAAGTGTTTTGAGACATTTAATCTGAATGGTGAGATTTGACTGAGAAGCTTGTTTGATGAGTTTGGTGATTTGGGTTTTGTTGATAGGTGGTTTTGGAGTTGGAATCCTTTGGATTCCTTGTGAAGCGTTAAGTGTACACCATGCTTGAATGAGTCTTTGAAGTGTGTGGTTTGGTGTTAGATGAGTGTAATCTGAGAGCAGTTGTTTTGTGATAGGACATGTTTTGTTGTTCTTTGAGAATAGCCATTTTTCGATGCATTCTCTGTCGTAGGTTATGCTGGTTGAAACTGTTACCGGATCCTTCATGATTTCTAATGATATGGGACAGAGAAAATAGGTAGGAACATCGTTCATAAACTCATCCTACAAAACCAGCTTCTAGGATGAGAATTATCTTCACTTATAAGCAACGTTCATGCTATATGACTCATAAAAATTTTCATACACTCACCAAAATAGTCTTACAAATGTTTATATCAATACATAAACTCAAATAAATCTATCTAAATATATCTATTGACATAGCCGTCTCAAATTTTTGAAAGCTTTGTGTTGGTTAGTTGAAGTTTAACTATGACAAAACAAGTAAAAGTTTTGTTTAATCATGATAATATTTTATGAAACCTTTTTTAACCACGGTTTTAGTGTGACAAATTTTGGGCTTTTGGGTTATGCGCAATAGCCCGACTTATACACCCTCAAAGACGGTTCTTTTTATTGGCATTTTATTTACATAAGAAGTGCTTATAGATAAACAAGTGATGATAGAACCTACACTTGACATCCATTCAGTGACTTCTTTGATACCACGATGCTGAGAAAGTGCAACAACATAAATCTCCATTCTGTTACACGTACTAAGAACAGCTGCTTCTTCAATATGATTCAAACCACAAAGCTCACCAATGGCTCTTGGCCATTCAGCTTCTGGTATAGCAAGTTTCTCACGCAACTTCACCGGTGTAGTATGCACACTCAGCCCAATCACCACAAGGCTGCTATTTTCCTTCGTATATCCTGCTCAAACTCAAGTTCATCATAAAGTCAAAATCAAATTCATAATCTCATATGGATCATAAAGTCAAAATCAAATTCATAATCTCATATGCTATATGACTCTTAAATACATAATTTGGTTGTTAGAACCAATTTTTAACTAGTTATATATGTTACTTGTTAGGAAATATGGATCGAAAATGGATGTTTGCCAATCGAGCGTCAAAAGAATATGAAGATGGAGTTCGTGAGTTCGTTAGGTTTGCTATTGCTCATGCTGAAGACACTAGTAAAATCATATGCCCTTGCTTAGAATGTTGTTATACGGATGTTAGTGCAAATGTTTTGGAAGATCACTTAATATGTAATGGAATTGATAAAAGCTACACATGCTGGATAATGCACGGGAAAAAAAAAACCAAGTCCACAAAAAGGAGCAATGGGAGAGATTCATCAAATGATTTTGAAAAAGATACGAATTATGCGTTTGATCGAGTTGAAGAATTTGTCAATGTAATTGAGGAAGATCTTCGTGATTGTCCTCAAATGTTTGAGCGGATAGTAAGTGATGCAGAGACTCCGTTGTATGATGGATGTACTAAATTCACAATACTGTCAACGGTCTTAAAGTTGTATAACTTAAAAGCACGCCATGGATGGTCCGATAGGAGCTTCACAGACTTGTTGACTCTGTTAAAGGATATTTTGCCTGAGAACAACGTGCTCCCTAGTCGAACGTATGAGTCTAAACAATTGTTATGTTCTATTGGCATGAGTTACGAGAAGATACATGCTTGTCCAAATGATTGCATTTTATTTCGCAAGGAGTATGCATCGTTGAATATGTGTCCTAAATGTAGTGCCCCACGCTATAAGAAGAAAGAAACAGCTCCAGCCAAAACGCTATGGTATTTTCCGATAATACCAAGATTTAGGCGCATGTATCATAATGCAGAAGACGCAAAGAACTTAACATGGCATGCAAATGAAAGGGTTGTTGATGGAATGCTCCGACATCCCGCAGATTCTCCTCAATGGGCAAAAATTGATCATGATTACCCAAATTTTGGGAAAGAAGAAAGAAACCTATGTCTTGCATTGTCTACTGACGGAATAAATCCTCATGGTATTCAAAGTAGTAAACTTACTTCTTGGCCAGTCATTTTGTTGATTTATAACCTACCTCCATGGCTATGTATGAAGCGCAAATACACGATGTTGAGTATGTTAATTTCTGGGCCCAAGCAACCAGGAAATGATATAGATGTATACTTGGCTCCATTAATTGAAGATTTAAAGCATATGTGGGAGACAGGTGTGGAGGTATATGATGAGTATAAAAAAGAATCCTTCAACTTGAGGGCTATGTTATTTGGAACAATCAATGATTTTCCTGCCTATGGGAATCTATCAGGCTACAGTGTCAAAGGAAAATTTGCATGCCCCATATGTGAAGATGGTACACATTCAATACGATTGGAGTATTGTATGAAGAATGTATTTCTTGGACACCGTAGATTTTTAAATACCAACCATCATTTTCGAAAATGGAGAAAAGCTTTTAATGGTGAATCAGAAGAAAATAGAGCTCCTTTGGCTTTGACGGGTGATCAATTATACCAAAAGGTAAAGCTTTTGAGCACTAATTTTGGAAAGCCATTTTCAAGTGAACTTGTAAAGGGAGGATGGAAAAAAAAGTCAATTTTCTTTGAATTGCCGTATTGGAAGTCATTGTATGTTAGACATTTCCTTGATGTGATGCATATAGAAAAAAATGTGTTTGAAAGTGTCGTTGGTACATTACTCAATCTCCCAGGAAAGTCTAAGGATGGCATTAATGCAAGGTTAGACCTGCAAAGCATGGGATTAAGAAATAAGTTACAGCCGGTTAAGAGGGATGGGAAGCGTACATTTCTACCTCCAGCAGCTCATACTCTGTCAAGAAAAGAGAAAAAGATCTTGTGTAAGGTTCTTCACAATGTTAAAGTTCCAGAGGGCTACTCATCAAACATTAAGAGTTTGGTATCTATGAAAGATCTCAAATTGAAGGGTTTAAAGTCTCACGATTGTCATGTTTTAATGGAGAACTTTCTTCCAGTGGCTATACGTTCCATTTTACCTGAAAATGTGCGATGGACCATAACTAAACTTTGTTTTTTCTTCAAAGCTATTTGTAGCAAAGTTATTGACCCTGAGAAGTTACCGACGTTACAAAAGGAAATTGTTGTCACATTATGTGAGCTTGAGATGTATTTTCCACCCTCATTTTTTGACATAATGGTTCATCTTACAGTCCATCTTATAATGGAAACACAATATTGTGGACCAGCTTATATGAGGTGGATGTACCCGATTGAGCGTTACATGAAGATAATAAAAGGGTACGTGAAGAATCGAAGTCGACCAGATGGTTGTATTGTTGAACGATATTTAGTTGAAGAAGCCATTGAGTTTTGTACTGAATACCTCTCTAATATTGAGCCCATAGGGATTCCAATGTCACGACACTCTGGAAAAACAACAGGGGAAGGGATTGGTGCAAGTAAACTAGTAACCATGTCAGACATCGAATTGGAGCAATCACACTTGTATGTTCTACACAATGCTGATGAGGTTGAGCCATATGTTGAAAAGCACAAAGAAATACTTCAAAGTTTGAACCCTAATAAGAGTGAAAATTGGTTAACAAGAGAACACAATCGAAGTTTTATACCGTGGCTAAAAGAACACATTTTTTCAGAATTTGCTAAAAATCCTGATTCAATTTCAGAAAGATTGAGATGGCTAGCAAATGGTCCAAATTCAAATGTTCTATCGTACTCTGGTTATATAATTAACAAGTATACATTTTATACAGAAGAACATGATCATCAAAGCAGTGTGCAAAATAGCGGTGTCACACTCGTAGCTGAATCTGTGCATATCTCAAGTTCCAAAAATAGAAATCCCGCATTTTCCAAATTGTCATATTTTGGGGTCATTGAACGTATTTGGGAGGAGTTTTTAGAGCAACTACGTGTAGAGAGTATAAAGGAGATTCTTGATCACAATTGGTTAAGTGCATCTATTATCACTGTATTTTCCAGGTACCTCTATTATTACAAATATTCTCTTATTTGACAAATATATTATTAATATTAATGTTATTTGTATTGTTGACTAATATTCACATTGGTGACAAATATATTAATATCAATTGTTGTTCATTTCTAGGTATTTGTATGACAAGTTTATTAGTCCAAATGGATTAATAAATAAGTTCTCTTTCATATCTCCACATGTATCACGGGAGGATAATCTAGGAAATGGTATAGCAAAAATACTTTTGAAAGATGAGGAGTTCAAGGATAAGATGATTCTTGCACCTTGTAATCTAGGGTGAGATTTATATTCAAAAAGTTATTAAATTAACGAGAAAAAACTCTAATGAATGTGAATCTTTAATGCAATATTTAAATGTTGGGTGCAGGAAACATTGGGTGTTGCTTGTCATCAATCTCAATGCTGAGGTGATATATTACATGGATCCGTTGAATGGTGAGCCAACAAAACATCAAAAATTTAAAACAAAGTTTGAGAAGTGAGTATAGACTCTTTTAATTTAAAATTTATGTACGTATTATTATTTATATAATTACTCATTTGAAGTTAATTTCATTTTGTTAGCGCTTTGCAAATTTATCGTGCTAATAGTAGTTCTAAAGTGCCTAAAGTGTCAAAGTCAAAGAAAATCTCATGGCAAAAAATAAAGGTATGTGTCTAAATTAATGTTATTTTAAAACAATTATGTGGAGTAAAATTAATCGATATAAATTTTTTTTTTTGTAGTGTCCTCGTCAAATTAATGGCGTTGATTGTGGATACTTTGTAATGCGATTTATGAAAGAGGTCATCATGGAAAATGAATTTATGATCCCCACAAATGTACGTGATTTTAATTATTATTATTATTCTTTTGTAAATTAAATTAATATAATTTAATTCTAACACGATTAATTGTTGATGTTTTCATATTTGAAGTACTTTTTTGACCACAAATGTCATACCTACTCTCATGATAAGTTAACTGAGGTTAAGGAGGATTGGGCTACTTATGTGGTGGATGATGTTTTCGGTGAGTTTTTCCTTGACTTGATACTTGATAAACAAGACAAATATTACTCATGGATTTAGAGTTCAAATGTTTTGACTTAGATGTTTAATTTTAATTTTTGAGTTGGATTTAGAGTTGTCGTATAAATGATTTTAGTATTTTATTGGTTTAGAAGATATGGCACAGAGGTACTGAGTGTTCTTTCTTGGTCTCGAATTTAAATTTTGAAATAGGAAAATACGGAAAAATGACTTATATCTTATTGTATGATTGATTTATAGTTTTCCGTTTCTACTTGAAATTTTTAGATATTCGTAGTAACAATTGTAAGGTGTTTGATATCTAGTTCTGGATCATGAAAAGAAAGTTACACACAATTAAGTGTTTATGTATATTTTGAGAATTTGAATTATATTCTGTTTAGTGTTTATATGCATCTAATAATGGAAATTGTGGTCTATATATTTACAAGTCATGTTCTTGTTAGACTTAATTAGGTCAATTATTGCATTAGTTATATCGATTTATTGTTATTAGTTTATAATAATCATTCCTTATTTTATGCGCTTCTTGTTAGACCCATATTAAATGTTTGATTATTCTTTATATGTTGAATTAGTTTTTATTGTACAATACATAATCAATATTCCTTCTATGATACAGGAAAACAAGAAGCAATTATTTTGCCTAATTAGTGATTGTATCTATGAGTTCAACGCTTTTGGATCATGAAGGTGGTTACTACATGGGATTGTTTTGTTATCCTTTCTTATTTTTTTGGTGTTTTGTTTAGAGAATTTGATTGTATGTTTTTGGATTTGGATTGAAGTACTCATAGATGGGCATCTACAAATTTGGCTATGCAAACGCCCTCTTAATATTCTATATGTTATGATATTTGGAAACAATAGGATTTGGTAATTTAAAATGTTATTTGGTATTTGATGGATCATAATATATATGCAATGAGTAACTTAAAGCGTTATTTGTGTTGAATTGAATATAGTTATTTTATATTTACACCAAAAAAAATGATTGTGTAAGAAAAAATATTGTACTGTACTTATTAAAAATATTGTACCAAATATGTACCATTTATTAGCACTTTATTTGAAAGCGCTATCAAACATATGTTATATATTAGCGCTTTTTGTTTAGAGTGCTATAAAAAAAACAAACAAAAAACATGCAAAATACTGACTTTGATAGCACTTTAATTAAAACGCTATTATAAATTGGTACTTTAATAGCGCTTTTAAAGTGCTATTAAATAAGAAATATTTACAATAGTGGTGCGGTTAATAGCACTTTTAAGCGCTATCAAAAACAAAAAAAAACGCTATTAAATAGCTTATTTGGCGTAGTGTTCCCAAAGGCACTCTGGGGCCTGTGAACGGAGGTAATGGCCCCGTTGTCGTGACCGTTACTGCTGGTGTTGAACCAGCGGTTATCGCTTCACTTACGGTCGGGATAACCGTTGATCCCACATTCGTTTGTGGGATTTCGTTATTGTTTGGCGGATTCGCCACCTCTTCTCTTCTTCTGGCAGTATTGGTATTGTTAGTGTATATTCTACCACTTCTCAATAACATGCAATACTTCTCGAAAAAGATGAGATTTTGCTTCAAAAATCAACACACAGTCCCACCGGGTGTGCCAATTTGTTTACCGTTGGTTTTGGTAAACAACCGCTGATCTTCCAAATGGTTACTTATTTGGTTACTCGCAGGATCGATCAGATTGATCCTAAGACATGGTTGATTTTGGGGTTTTGATTAAATTTGATAATGGTTAAATGACAAGAAAATAAAGAGGCTTTAAGTAAATTGCATGAAGAAGTGGACTTGATAAAATAAAGGAAGGCTTAAAATAAAGGCTTCGACAGGAAAAGTAAAGGAGAAAGCAAGTAAAGTTTCTGGAAAATAAATGACTTTGATTAATAAAAGTGGTGTTTCACACATACATTCTCAACAATTCTTTCTCACACGCTGGGTACTCGAATCTATATGAGTGACTTTGTATATAATTGTGAACACACGCGAAAAACTGCGTGAACCACTACTATTTATACTAAAACATCCCAAGTAACCGTCGGGCAGTTACACTGCTTCGAGATGACTCCACTTGGCACGTTCTCAGTGTTCGACGCTCCAGATCTTTGCACGTTGCACTTGGTAACCGCTGGGAACCGTTTTCCCTCCAAACGCTTGAATTTCAAACCGTCCCACTCTGAGCAATCGAACACCCTCGTCGAGAGGCATCTTCGACGAGCCATACCTTCGACGTCAAAGGCAACCAAATTCTCCCTTGGAAGAAATCCTTTAAGTATATTGCCATCTTCTGATGGGCCTTTCGACAGACCCAGCTGGTTGAAAACATCCTTCAGCTTTGCTGGCTGATATTAATAAAAACAAGGGTGTCGAATTTAGGAGCCAACACCTGGCCA